CGAGTTTTGGAGACTTGGCAGGAAGCCAGCTCCAAACTTGCACAACATACTTATATTTCTTTGAAGAAAATTTCAACCTATTCACCTTACCTTTCCTCCCAAGCGGCATTAGACAGTCAGCTGATTGGTTAAAAAAATCAAAAAAAAGACACCATGTCTGTTCTAAAAAGCTGTAAGATATCCTCAGGTTTTCAGGAGAGGTGATGCAACTGAAATGCCCCTGGTGTGCCAGGGAAGTTGTAAGTCAGGCAGAGAAAGGACTGTGGTGTCACAGCACAAAGGGGAGCAGATCCTTCCTGGACACCTGTAGTCAGGCAGCTGGGAGGGAAAGTGTCCACATAGAAGGAGCTGACTGGGCTGAGAATCAGGAGGGGAAAAGATGGAGTGGGTAATTAGAAAGAAAGAGGAGAGAAAAAGGATCCCTGAAAAGATTTAGATGGGTCAGATAAAGTGAGATGCTGGGGACTGAATGAAGCATCTCAAATGCAGCCTTCATTAATATTTTGTTTGCATTATCTCAGACTAATTTATTTTATGGACATGGAGAGCTGTTTCCGCTGATGTATTGAGAAGATTAGGGACCCCTGGTGGCCTAGTGGTTAGCATGCGGGACTCTCACCGCTGCAACCCAGGTTCAATTCCCAGTCCCTCCCGGGCAGATGGAACCCGTTAGCCCTGTGAGGCCATCCATCTATGAGAAGGTCACTCTAAACAAACCTATGTCCTGAGGACCTCACTGCCATTGTCCAAGCTTGCTTGGCCCCGGCAGATGAACCTTAGGATTAAAGGGTGGGCTCAGTTCAGCGCAGGCTGTGTCTCACCTAAAAAATCCATTGCGCAGGCTGGAAAGGTAAAAAGACCTTTCCCAAAATCTTCGTTCGGAAAGATGGGCCATTATATTTATTGAGAAGATTATCACACAACCTTATTGTTTTTTGGAACAGGAATTCTCAACATTTCTTGAGGCTCTGTGCTGGTTTTCTACATTTCTCTATGTTTGAAGACATGAATCATCAAGTCACTATTATTTCTGTGTTATCTATCATGAAATTTCCAGGTGATTTTCTCTTTTCTTCAGCAGCTATAGAAGCTATTGCTACCCAGTGGGCTCAGGGTGTAATTACATGTTGTGCCAGTTGCCACAAGAAAAAGGTTAGAAATTGTGGACAAGTGACTGGGGAGTAATCAAGTGGCAAACAGCTGAATGCTCTACAAACATGGTACTCTGGAGCAAATAATAAAGAGCTAATAGACAATTAAATTTATTTGGATTTTATTCTACTTACTTTCATCTGTATACTATTCACAAAAATTTATTATTTGCTATTAAAAAAAAAATTATTTTCCAGACAGCATAAAGGTCAGGACGTCCTTTCAGCTAGTGTGGTGGTAACCTTCCCCCAACATAGCTGCCTCCACAAGAGAGAGTCTCCCACGAAAAGCATGCTGCTCCTGATCTGTCTTACTCCTCATTGTCAGCATCATCCAAAGCAAAGCTTTTCCAGCTGAGGGTAGGGATTACACAAGGAAGCTACTGGTAGAAACATGACTACCAAGAGAGATGTTTCATCTTACTATCTCATTGATAGTAAGAAATAACATGCCTTGCTTTAAAAGCATGCATGTTTCTTGCTGGTAATATTGCACTTGCCTGAATACCCACTTGCTATCCAGCCCTTTGACCTTGTTTGCATTCCTGAACAGTCAGAAGGGATGGGACTGCCAACACAGGTTCATGAATGAACTTGTAATATGTAAGCAAAGGTGTCACTATCTGACTGCACCAGAGAGCATGCTTAGCTGTGTAAGGAAAGAGTGAAAGAGACTTCTTTTATTCCAGAACAGTCTTTGAAGACTGTCCAAAGGTATTTCCAGAGGGACTGCATACAGAATGTCTCCATTGCTGTGAGGATAAGTTTTCCCTAACAGCTGTCTTTAACGAAGTTTTACTGTGGTGGAAGGCCTCTTTTTGCAATGGTCTGTAAGGAAACTGGTCTTGGCACAAACATAAATGCACGTGACAGATGCAACTGAGTTACCTGTGCTCCTTGTAGCTCATGATAACAATGACAATGTAAAATGGCAATATTTCATTATGTGGTTCTGTGCACAAAAAGCTGCAAGCATAGCTGTGTTCTCATTGCTTTAAGGTGGCTTTCCTATCAATGCACACTGTTTTGACCTTTAAGCCCATCAGGCTCAAAAACAGGTTCAGTGCTGTGTGCACTGTTTGCTCAACTGAATAACACACAGTAGGAATAAGATGCTTTATTAAAAGAGAAGAATCATACCTCCTGCTCTGTAAAGCTTAGTCTATATGTTTTGCTGATATAGATCTACTCAATGCAAGCATATGTGTGGCTTTAGTAAAAATAAATTTACCATGTCAGACATGGTAATCCATCACTATAATAGCTACTTCGGCACTTGCACTTCAGCAATATTTTTTAAAATTTGATGGAAATATGAAGTAAACATGCCAGTGCTAAGGCTAGTGCCTAAGCAAGAGCTCTATTGTGAGCAGTAGTGGCAAGTACATGTCTGTCTAACGGAGAGCCTCAGGCCTTGATTCAGAGCTGACCAGATGCATAATCTCATCAGCTGCAGTGGATTTCACAGCAGAGCTTACATTTGGCAGAGCAAGGTTCAAAATATGTCCTGCCCAAGAGCCGACACATTTTGAGATATCCCCTGGCAACAACTAAAATAAACCGTAACTGTATCTTATTTACTCTGCACATCACAGGGCCTTATGCTGACAAGGGTGACAGCCTGCCCCTGGCATCTGAGCTGCCCAACCTCGCATTCTGTCATGGTCTGATGGGCAGCAGAGCCGCTCACTTCAGCACAGATCTGGATGCCTCCGTCCTCACACAGAGCATCTTCATCACAAACACAGCTGTTGGATTGCACTAAACAAAAAGCACAGAGGAAAAACATTCAGGATAGCATCCAAGTCACCAAAAAAAAAACCCAAAAAACCCAGACTAAAATGTTTCCAGTAAAACTGTAGGTCTGACAGAAATTTTCTGGAGGGTGCTCAGCACAAGGAAGACATGGATCTGTTGGAGCAGGTTCAGAGGAAGAAACAAAAATGATCAGAGGGCTGGAACACCTCTCCTGTGGAGACTGGCTGATAGAGTTAGGGTTCTTCATCCCGGAGAAAAGAAGGCTCCTGGGAGACCTTAGAGCACCTTCCAGTACCTGAGCAGGGTTTATAAGAAAGATAGGGACAGACCTGTTAGTAGGACCTACAGTGGTAGGACAAGGGTTAATGGTTTTAATCTGAAAGAGGGCATATTCAGACTAGATATTAGGAAGAAATTTTTTCGGATGAGGGTAGTGAAACACTGGATCAGGTTGACCAAGAGAGATAGTGGATGCCCTATTCCTGGAAACATTCAAGGCCAGGTTGAATGCAGCTCTGAACAACCTGGTCTAGTTGAAGATGTTGTGGCTGATTGCAGGGGGCTTGAACTAGGTGGCCTTTACAGGTCCCTTCCAACCCAAAGCTTTCTATGATTCTGTGATTCTTTCCCTAACCTAATTCCCTAATCCTTTCAGTAATATTAGCTGATACTTAGGATCTGTGGAACAACTAGAAGTAGAAACAAGTGGGGCACTGCTGGGGCTTCCTCTGCTCAGAGAGGCTGATTGTGTTTGTGGGAAAAGCTTGCTCAAGGTGCCTCAAAGATTTCTCTGATGTTACTGCTTGAACTGGTTCGTGTATTTACAACTCCAGTGCTCAGATAACATGTAAGATGAGAGATCTGTCCTTGGACACTAACAAACTGATCATGCAAACCCTTACGACTCGTATCTTTATTTTCATACAGGCAGTTTCACTAAGATTAAAGTATTTGCTGCTATAAATAAATGTGTGTAGCTGTATCAGTGACAATCACATAAGAAGATTTTACTTGAGATTTATTTTTCATAACAGTGGCTTTGTTTTGGTGTTGTATGATTACATTTTTTTTGCCAATGTTTGTCTTTGCTGAAGCTTCAGCTAGTTTGGATTATCTTTGTTTTTTGTTATTATTTTTGTCTGTTCAAAAATAATAACTGTTAGACAAAACAGATGAACTCATATCAAGTAATCCTTTTTATTTTCAAATTATAACAATAACTGTGCCTCTAGCTTGGCAACTTCTAAAACCCTAATTTATTTCTTCATCTTGCCAATTCCTGGCAACCCTCCATTAAATGCAACATAGTGTAGGACACTCAGGGAAAATATATCAAGGAACTTGAAAACTTCCACTGCAGACAGGTTACAAAAGACAGGAACTATTTCCTCTGAGGGAAGAGAGCTCACCTTTGATCACTGTGTGAGAAATTGGGGATAGACAATGAAGAACAAACAACAGTAATTGGCTTTCCTAGCTAGTATGCAATAAGACGTTTAAATCCTTGCCACAAGATACTGCCAGGGAGACTGCTTGGCAAATTTCTGGAAAGGTTTACCTATTTCTGTGGGCAGTAAGGACTCCCACAGGTAGAAATAGTGAAAAAGAGTAGGGCAAGGGTTTCACCCAAAACTTCCAGTGGACCAAAATGTTGACTCGCTTAACAGGGGCTAGCAATAAGCTTTTCCTGCAGACAGTGTACTTTGCTACAATATCCTGTGGGGGTTTTTTTTCCATGGTTGGAGATTCCTGCTGTGTTTGGATACCAAACACTGGGCTGATGGTTTGAATCAGCTTAGCAGCGCATGATGCTTCTGGGAGGAACTGGAGGTGCCATACCAGGACAGACCAACTGCTAATGTGTGACTGGGGGTAAAGACTTCATTTTGGTCATATGAAAAATTTTGCTTAGAATTATGAAGAATCTCTTACCATTGCATTTTTCCCATGAACGGCATGATCCACAAGGTATTTCAGTTGTCTGGGATATTTTGCAGTTTTCTGCATTATTGAGAGAATATTTTCTGCCTGTGCACTCCAAGGCATGCATCTTGCAAACAGTTAAACGTGTGTTTCTCTTAGTTCTTTGATCTGTAGCACAGGTGTCCAGGGAAGGACTGAAAACAAAAGAAGGGATTGCACCATTTAAATGTGCTTTGTCTTGGCACATCTTAAAAAGAGCTGAGGGAGTGGAAAATATTCAGAGTCCAGTTCCAGTTTCTCTGTTCATTGAAGTACATCCTAAGAGTGCAGCAAGGAACTAAAGACACAGACATGTGAACAATCCAAACTTCTTCCTTCTCCATGTTGCACCTTAGCAGAGTCAAGATCTGTCCTATCTGAAGGACACGGATATTGCTGTCTATTTGCCATTGATCTCAGTAGCAGTGAGAGACTTTAGATAAAAATACTTCAGACCTCAATTATTCTCTAATTTATGACATATGCAGGAACATAAGTACATACACAGAAAACATTTTCATACATATAATGATATATATGAACATGCATAAATACTTTACAAATATTTTACAAGTATTTCTTAATTTTAATACATTAGGATATGCTTAAAGATCTTTATGCTGCTGTCCTTTAAAAATCACAATTTTTACTAAATAAAATCTTATGATTCACCACCAGAGACCAAAGATACTTCTGGAAATACACATGCATCTCCACAAAATTTTATGAAAAATATTTATCCAGGAAACTTGCTGGTGTATTTCTTGAAATGTGGATAGTAATCTAACACCCACAAAAAATGTGTAGAAGTGGCAATAACAATTCTTGGACAACCTTAAACTGTATTTATTTTGGGGACAGTTCCAGGAAGTTGTCATCATTTGTGATTCATGCTCTAAGTGTAGGAGTGGAGGGAAAAAACCCTCCTATTACTTCTATGTTTTAATCTCAAACCCCAATCTTCTCCACTTGTTCTCAATGCAATCAGTGGCATCTGTGTGGAGCGAGCAAAAGAATGACTGTCTGGCGCAGGGAATACTGTGCTTTCCTGGGTGCACTTTACAGCCATGGGTAAGGTGCAGCACAGGCTACCAGAGAGCAGAGATGCTCCTGGGAGATGGAGAGCTTTGAAATTCAGCCCTGAAGTCTTATTTTCAGCACAGCCTCTCATTTTGAGCTCACAAACACTCTCACAGAAACTTTTAGTGTCTTATGGGTCGGTTCTGAAGGCCAATATCAGCTAAACAGGTGTTTGGTGAGCAGGAGAGACTGATGAGGTAAAGACACATGGCCCTGATGAGCTGAGTGAAAGGAGAGGATAACTCCCTGTGAAAGTGGCTTGTTGGAGGAGGGAAGAATTTGGAAGATGGAAATCTAGGGAGAAAGTCTTGACACAACCTTTACTCACTTGCTTGTCAAGCATTAAGGTGACTTTTCTTCCCCCTGCCCCACCCCCCATCCCACTCCATGAATTAGAAAGTGGGTTTTGATCTATAAATGAGACACTAAGGAAAAGACCCTTCTCCAAGCTTTTGGAATGGTTCTTTGAAAGATGGTTGGAAAACTCTTAGAAGAGCTGGCTCTACAGAAATTTTAAACTACCTGTAACATAGTGCCTCTTTAGGATATTTAAAATATGACATGAAGTTCACTAGTTGAGCCTGAAAACTTTGATGCACCTGCCTGTGACCAAATATTTTTAGTAACAACATTACATCTCTCACTTAAGTTAGCATCCTCAACTGCTAAAGGTCCCTTAACTGCTGTGCTTAGTCAAAATACCAGCCACAATACCACTAATAAAGTTAGTTGCATGAATTTTCCTTAATGCTCTTTTGATAACACAAAGAATGAGGTTAACCCTCTCATTCTGAGGCACTGCAAGAGGACAGCCCAAGGGATATATAGCACCAAGCAGCTGATAAAGGAAGCAGGTGTATTTGCATGCACGTGTGGCTGCACAGCCTCTGAGTTAGTGAAGCACTGCTTTAAGTGTTTTCTTTGCAGACAGAGTTATAAGAAAAACTCCATCTTTAAATGTAGTCTTAAACTTGGGAGAACAAAATGTGTTCCAGGGAAAGCAACTAATCTGTAATTAAGTTGTTTGTTATATTTAAAATTGTTCAGACACCTTCTTTCCTTGCCCAAGTGATAAATCTCATCTGAGTCTTAAGGTCAAAATCTTGTACACAAGGCAGCCTAATTTATCTGAAAATATTAAGACCAGACCTTTGCACTAATCTGCCTGCTTTGCACCACTTTAGCAACACCCAAAAGAAGAAAGGGAGATGATTTAACCAGCTGCTGAAGTATGAATCCAAGAGTTCATGGACTGTGTTGCCAAACTCTCGCTGCAGTACAATGCCTCAAACTGTCTTGAGACTTTTTTAAATATTTACTATAGCTGGGTCATCCAGGAGAAAGCCAGTGGGCATCAACATGTTCAGATGCATAAGAAAAAGAATGGACAATCAGCACTCAGAAGAGAAATTAATAATTTGCACTCGTTGCTAAGAAAGGATATTTCCCAAGGCTGGGAGCACCACAGCAGTGCAATAAAAATTATTACAGACAAGGAATAATCCTTGTAAAGCGAATGTGAGAAATGTAATATTTTTACCTGAAGAAGAAGGCTAGGATAATAAAAACATTTTACTAATATTTTATATTGTGAAAAATTAAATAATATCTGTAAGTCCACAAATACCTTCTTTCTCTCACCTACAATGAGAGGTAGGAAACTTTTGGTGAAGTGAAAAATTCATCATGCAGCAAATGATATTAACTTCCTAAAATTACATTCAAGACCCTAAGTTGTAATATACCACAGTCCAAGAACTCTCAGGAGAGAGATAGACACTGTGCAAATAAATTTGGAGGAAAAAAGAGGGGATAGTACTTAAAAATGGTCAAATCTCATGTTTCACTGTGGAGATAGCTATTAGCTCCTGGAGACTGAGGTTCCATCTGAATTAACACACCAGCTGTTCTCTGATCCCTTCCTTGTGCTAGGGACAGTTTACACAGAGTAGCTGGTGTCCATACTCTCTCTGGTCCCATAAGATGGGGACTGCATCAGACCAGAACGGTCTCTGACCCTAGTAACTCCTATGCTGTGCCTGGAAATCATCCAGGAATTGGCTCTTGCCAGATGTCTACCAGGAGCTGCTTTAGTGATTTAGCAGCTTTGGTGCCAGAGATTGTTCCCTTGCTCTAACTGATGAGAATTGATCTAACCTAAGGCACCATACCATAGGGACAAATTACCCCTCACCAGCCTATTCTGGGGTTTTTGTGCTGTCCTGGGCTGCCTCTTGGAAACTGAAAGGATGGAGAAAGCCATGGTGTTCCTAAGTTCCCACACGAACTCTTCTTTTTCCCAGCTCTCTTCAGGGAAGAGGCTGGTGCTGAAAGCCACTGCCACAGCAAAGCAAGTTACTTCTGCTCTCTGAGGAAGGACCAAGATCTGCTTACATGCCTTACTCCTACAGCCTTAACAGGTTGGAATATTAGTCTGCTTTGACAGCTGATGATTTATCTTTCTATCATTAGATGTGTTATTTCAAGACAGTGAAAAGATGGCATCAGGTAACAGGAATGACTGTTACCAATCTTCTTGCTATTTTGAACATAATTAAAAAAAATAGAAACAGACACGTAGTAGATTAATTATAAATGAAGCTTAAACAAATAACTAAATGTAATTCATTTAACTTCCAAGGTTACTATGACTCTGCCTATGGCCTTCCGTAGCATTGTAACTCCCCTCATATTCTAACTAACCTTAACACACCCATAAACCAGAGAAGGGGTTGTTGCCTTGTTTAAATAAGTATTGAGAGAAAAAGACCAGGACCAGGTTATATAAAATATTTAGGTGTTTAAGGATAGGAATAGTTACTTGAGATTACATCAAAGTTTCTTCCTCCTACTACACATGGATAAGACAAATTTGGTCTGTTGTCCTGGAATTTCCAAACTGCTCAGCTCCTGCTGTCACATAAACCTGGCCAAATTTCATCTAGAGCTCACACTCTGTGTGATGACTTTATAGGAGATATCATCCAGTCTATTGCAAACCAGACCAGATGTTGGAGTGCTGAGCTCTTTGGCACATTTGACCATCAGCACCAGGTGATGTAATTTCCTTACATTATTTCTTCTGCATTGCTTATTGCAGAATATAGCCTTAGATCAAACAGGAAACAATAAACCCTGATCTGCAAGCCATGAGGTCAGGAAAGTGATGTGATTGGACTACGAAGACTGCTCTGTAAATGTGAGATGAAATTAGATTACTGTGCCTTTCATAACCCCACAGTCTCTCAGCAGCAAAAAGAAATCTACTTTATTTCACTAGCTCATAGGTTTAATATTTATGTCCCAAGGGCCTCTGTTTAAGTTTTGCTCCATCTCCTAAATCCTGAAAACATAATTTTATCTTTTTCCATCTATTTCACAGATAAAGTGAAATTATCTCTTCACCTTCCATCACTACTAAATTCCATCACTACTAAAGCCCACTGACAGTTGTGACAAGGCAAGTAAGTGATGAATAGGACATTGATTGAGCTGTAAAGAAAATTACAATGCCTCCTTCTCATATGAGTAAAGCTTTCTCCTCTGTTATGGACTGAAGACTTAAGAACTGTAATGGGTCTTGAATAAAGTGAGAATGTATTCGCCTAATTGAGCCTGAACTTACCCACACTCATAGGGCATTTTACACACACATCGTGACTGATATACCTTCTCCCATGGCTGACATTTAGGCTCTGTCACTTCTGGTTTCACACTGGGCACTGAAGTAGAAGAACACAAACAGTGATATTAAGGGTCAGAAAAACAAGGGCTGTTACAGGTCTACTCTGAAATTGTCAGTTGAGTTTAGCAGGCACTGAATTATACAATCATGACATAAAGTCACATTCTGCATGTTCATTAAAAGTATCTACTTTTAATGGAAGGAAACAACACATTGAAAAGATATGATACACTTTGCAAAGTTACTGTGCGGTAATTTATCTATGGGTCACAAGTCAGATGGAAAGACACAGGTACTGTGTTCAATCTTAAACATTCATCTAATTTCTGCTGCAGCTATTTGTTTCTTCTAAATTTAGCACTGCCGAATTGTAGATGGGAATGGCTTTGTCATTAGGTTTCAGAGTTACTGACTTCACTGCTGTCACTAGAAAAGGTAAGGCTCCAAAGTCCGCTATAGAAATCCAAATATCTTCATACACTGATAGTAATGAAAACTACAAGTTCCATTATGAGCCCTCAATCTGTACTAACTTTAAAAATAAAAACAATAGTAATTCTTGGGGAATTTTCATCATTGCCGATGTTCCGTTCTTTAAACACACAGTTGTATTCCAAACTTTGCTAAACATTTCTCTGGAGGTTTCTGTAGCAAGTAACAGCAAATCTTGCTAAATCCATATGGATGCAATTTCTGAGGAGGTTTTATCCTGATTTGTATTTTAGATTATGTGTCTGTTAACATGAAACTTTAGTACTCCAGAATGTTGTTGCCTTTCTCAAAAAAAAAAAAATCTCTCTTACAAATTAAGACTGGCTAAGCAAAATAGATGGACAGAAATTACCAAAGAAGAAGAAAAAAAGAGTTGCAGTGCATTGCAATAAAGACAGCAGGCCCAACCTTGTCTTCCTGCAGAGGGGTAAATTTTCACCAAAAATCACTGCATTTTCTTCATCCCTGGGGTTGCTGGTTGCAGAGCTGATGGTTGCGGACACTCTTGCTGACTAAATACTCCCATTCAAACATATCTATGCCACTATGTCTGTGTATACATATTTTCTTAATTTTTACCCTTCTTATCTCATATTCCTTGGGTTTTTAACTCCAGTTCCTTGGATTTCTAATCCAATTGTTGTCCTTTTTTAAAAAACTTTTGTACTAATATAATGCTCCCATAGAGTGAGGCACAAGCTGTTCCTAAAGGTAGAAGCATTTGAAACTTTCTAATTATTTCTGGAATTTTAGAATGTGATGCAAAAATACACCAACAAAACAAAACAAAACAAAAACAAACAAACCCCAAAACAAAACAAAAAAATGAACAAAACCAAAACCACCAAAATCCCCAAACCAACCAACCAACTAAAAAAACCAAGTTAAAATCACTGAGGGTAAGCCTAAGTAACTGACAACATCAATTCAGCATTTGCTGCTCTGGCACTTCAACAGCAGTGAGTTGTTTATGTACAGCTATGCAATTCCTTCTGAAATCCCTACGCTTCCTGTGAATTTGGTTATGGCACAGTAGCAGGTGACTTACACCAGGAATTTCACAGGACTGTTGTCTTTTGAGGTCTAAGCCTGACTGTCACCTTCCTCTTCCCGCAGGTGAGGCAACCTCAGGTAGCAGTTGGCTGATAAGGACAGGACAGACAAGAAACATAGGACAAGACTACTCTTCTGCAGCAGTGACTGCTGTCCCCAGGAGAATACAGGAACATCTGGGACCTCAGGTGAAGTTGTTACTGGCTTGAAGCAGCAAGCTGCTTGGGTGCCCCTGTGTGACTGATCAGCACTACAGCAGTGCTCAAGAGAAATTCTTGTCTGTCTTCCACAGTTGGAAAAGACAGCTTAGGCAGAGCTGCTGAGTGCTGTAGCCCAATTCCCCTTCTGCTAGTGACCGCCCATATCAACCCAGAGCTTACACAGCACTCACCATGAACTTAAAGCAGCATTTTTCCATCGCTTCCAGTTCCTGGACATTTACTTCATATCAGCTGTGCGACTGTCAGATGAGCAAAAGGAGTCACCCAGCCCTCTCCTTCTCTGCCATGAGAGGCGGTGGTGTACGGAACAGTTTCCACATAGAAAAACTCTGTCTCTGCGGTGCAGTTCATATAGTGGTGGTTTTATACAACATGGGCGGAAAGTGAAGTATACTTGGGTGTCAGAATAGACAGCATACACCCCAGGCAATCTCTTAAAATGTTGTTAGTGACAATATGTGATAGCAATAGGGGAGTGTGAAGCAAAAAACCATAAGGAAATCTCACATGAATTGCTTTAAGGCATCTTGTTTGAACAGACCACAGAAAACACATGTTTTCTGGGCTTCCTGCTGGTGGGTTGTCACTGTATCGCCAATAGCTCTGTCTATACTTCAGCTACATAAGGCATAGTCAGTCCAGGAAAGAAACTTCTGCATTGTACTTGCAGGACTGGAACGGCTTACCTGGTGCCTTGCACTGGATAGTCTTCACGTCGGGAGACCACTTGAGACTGGGCTCACACAAAATGGAGTGTGCCCCTTCTAAGTGCATGCTATGTGGGCAGGACAGAGTTATTCTCTCACCAATCTCATACACAGCTTTCCATGGCTCTCCTTGCAAACCCCCCTCCAGGTCGGGCAGGAGACAAGCGGTTTCTAAGGATTGAAGCATTCGATATAGCCACAGTGAATCAGTGGATTGCATAAAGCAACCACATATTTTATCTTCTCCTAAATTCCTTAACAAATTGAATGGTAAGATTGCCTGATTTTCCTGTAGAAACATATCAATCACATTAGTGCAGGATATTAACTCATCACACCTGCTAAATATGCAATACTAAGGACATAGTGGCAGTATCTTCTCCTGCTGCCTGCAGGTGCAGCCTAGCTTTATGAGGGCTTCTCTGTCCTTAGGACCTGGTTCTGTTGAGAGTTCATAATAGGGAGTAACATCCTGTAGAGAGAGGTCATACATACAGGATGCTGGGGAGGCCATGTACTGATACACAAAGAGATAACCTCTAAACAGTGTGGACTAGCATATGTGGACAGTCAGTCCTGCTTGGAAGGAGAAAAGGATGCTGTTGAAACACAGCGCTGAAAATTCCCATGGCTCTTGCATATAGCTACAGGACTTGCATATAGCCATAGGACTTGCATATAGCAATGAAGTGTTTCCACAGGAAGGAATTCCTGGACTGGAATTTAGTCTCCGTTACTTCCAGCCTTTCTTAAAACCAGACTTTATGGGTGTGTTTCTCATTCAGTATTACAATATCTAGATTCACAATAAAAGTCGATTTAGACATGATTGTGACTAGGGAACTGGGAAATGAGGGTCTGTGTTTTCCCCCTGCTGTCGCTGGAAAGCAGGTGTTCCAAGATGTTTCACTGGAATTCAGAAATGGAATTGTATTTCAAAACAAGAATCATTTAGACATACCTTGGCAATATCTGTCTCCAACTTGCCATTGTAAATTATCACCACACTTAGCAACAGGATCACCAACAAGAGAATATCCATGTCTGCAAGCATAAACAATGCTTTTCCCGACAGGGTATGAGTTTTCAGCATTCTGAAAGAAAATAAACAGGTGAAATTTTAGATATACAATATTAGAACTACCAGTAGCACTGAACTCTCTTTGATTCTGGGATGCAGTGGCTGAGAACAGTGAGAAGTATTAATGCTTCTCTACAATGCACTGATGAGAGCATCTGGAATATTGGGGGCAATCCTGGTTATCAATAGTCAGTAAATGTGATCAAAAGGGATATGGAACAGTGCTCTTCTGATGATGCATAAACTAACTGCAAATATGGCTGTTATCAAGCATTAGCAGGGCAAGATAAGATCTTGGACAACCTTGGGCTGGAGGGAGATCAGTAGGGAGATAATGTTTTTGCTAATTCTTAGGATGGGATGTTATCAGCTTTCAAAAGTTTAATATGGTGGACTGGAAGACACAGGTTTTCTCTCATTTTATATCCCACTGTCTTCCAAGGAGAGATCTTATGAAAAATTGAGACTACTCCATGAGTTGCACCTTTAGTTTGTGAACCAAAAATATCAATGTAGGAGACAACTATTGACTAAAAATAAATAAATAAATAAATAAATAAATAAATATTCCCTGGCAAAAGAGGGAGTGCAAGATTTTGGATCTTGCCTCAGTTAGCAGTTGTGTAGAGACAACCAACTGATTTTTCTAAAACTAATCCTTTTATCTATTTATTGAGCAAGAAGAATTTTGACAGCCTGATAACATGGAGAAGGTATAATCCATTCCTCCAAGGGAGGAATTTAGTCTCCTTTTTTAAATAGGCCCAAGTTACAGGTAGCCAAGTACCTTGACAGATCACAGTTTCACCAAGGAACAAGAAAGTGGAATGGTGAGTTACAGAGTGAAGATTCCTAAAATCTGTTTATAATTTTGTTATATTTTGTTTGTTGGATGACCATGGACAGTTTACTTTCTGTGTGTTTTTTTCTCTAATTTTCTCTAATTTCCTGTGATTTTATATGTAATTCATATGGCTCAGAAAACTTTTAATAAATACCTAGGTTAAAGGACTTTTCTCTGTAGGTACTATCATGCAGAAAAGTAAAGATTTTATTCTGATTTTGGGGGTGGGTTTTTTTGGATTTATTTTATTTTTAGCGTGAAGTTTGGGATATTATCATGTAAACTTCAGCCAGTGAAAAATACTGCACAAGTTGCTATACAGTAAGTCTGATATTAAGCTTACCAAGAAAAATACAAATTTGCAAATGCACATCTGTATTAACTGTAGTAAAGACATTGCAGGTAGGGATAGGACAGATAACAGAGCAATAGCAATAACTTACTTGAACAAATCCACTTTCCAAGGGAGGAGGAGGTGAACAGAATTTTGTAGGAGTTATGGATAAATCAAAACAGTGTGGTTCAATCAAGCTATGAAGCAAACAAAAGTACAATTTAGTTTAAATTTAGTCTTCTTTCTTTTCAAAATGCTACACTTCTCAGTGAAGCCTGTTTTCAAGGCTATTATGCTTACATTTTCATCACAATTTTATTTAAATCAGGTACTGCCAGGCTATCCAAGAGAGTGGTAAATAGTATGCTGTCAAGTTTACTGGCTTTTACCCCATTTTCTAGTCTTACCTTGTATTGGATTCACAGCTTCTGAATTTCATTTTCTCTCAACTGAAATATTAAAGCTCAGCAAGTGATCTTCTCCCTGAATTCAATAGCTTATGCACCCTTCTGAAACAAATTTTTAAATCTTTCTGAAGTTGTGCTCCAAATGTTTTTTATTGCTTACCGAAGATGCTGCAACTCTTCATCTTCACATGGTCTGCTTTCACTCTGCTCTCCTATGCAGGTCTTCCCACCCCCACTTGGGGAGGGGTTGTTGCAGGTTCGACTCCTCAATTTTCTTCCCCCTGAGCAAGGACTCCAAGAAGACCAGCAGCTCCAGCGTCCATCAACAACACCTATTAAACATTTGGGAATATTTCACATTAAACCACTCTATTTAAACCACTTTCTCTTTAAAGCACTCTCTGTGAGTAATTTAAAGACACAGGCTGTTCAAAGCTAGTGATGGTCCCAATTGTGTCCTTACAGAGAATTCCAGATTGCAATTATCTAATCTTCCATCTTTCCCCAACTTGCCTTGTACATTCCACAAAGGCTATATATTATCACTTTCTGAGAGAACACAAAACCAGCTATCAGCTACAACTAATTACAAAATTAAAAAGAAAAATTTTTGAAGTTATTGATACTGGTTAATTCAGGATATGTACTTAATTATAGATGGTAACATTGAGTAGTTAGTATTGTCCACTGTATTTAACATTAATAATAAAACCAGCTCTTTGTTAAGTACTATTTAAACATGTTAAACAAAGACTCAGGCTTGACATGGCCCTCCCCATGCTGTATGTCTGCAATGGTACCTGACCCAAGCAGGCACTTCATGGGTGTGCAGTGGGACAGACAGACTCTGGGAGCAGGAGGGCACAGTTTGTTTCTTCTAAACTCTCACAAATTTAAAGAGTGCTGACCTGGCTGATCTTGCACGAGAGTTCCCAGCTCACAAGCTGCTCCAAAGGTGTAAGGCTTGCAGTAACACACACATTGTGTTCCTTCCACAGCTGGTTCACCACCATTCTGGCAAGGCTGACATTTGCAGGGATGATTTTCACCCATATATTCTTCAATTGCTTGTTTTAGGTAATGCTTTTTGACTGAGGAGCAGGGTACTTCCTTTACCAGCTCATATAATGGTGTTAGCTACACAGAGTAGAGAAACATGTAAATTAAACAGTTATGATTGGGATATAAGGCTTTAAAAGCATGCAAAATAATTTGTGACATACGCTCCTGCACATGGGAATTAGCACATTAGATGTTTTAATTTGCTGACTAGCTAAAATCTTATGTTAGTATTTAATATTAGCCTTTTTCTGAAAAGTTAGCTCTGCTTAACACCATCCTTTAAAGCTGTTGGTAGACCAGTCATGTTTAAACATATTTGAACTATGAGGATATGATTGAGACAAAAGTGTAACACAGACTACCAGCAACCTGGATTCTCACCCAGCTGTTCCTAGCATAAAAAACCTGGACACTTGAACAATCCACTATGGTATTTCACAGAACAGTGATTAAAGGTAACAATAATTGAAAATATTTTTTAATTTCCATTGCCTATTTTATATTATATACTTTTACATTTAGCTGAAAACTTCCTGACAGAAATACTTTGGGTTTATACCATTCTTCAGTATGTGAGCAGTTCCCAAAAGGGACGTAGACAAGGTCTTAGTCAATATGGCCACACCGAGCTCTGAAGAGTTTGACTCTCAAAATCTCTAGTTATTTTAAGCTTCCGGATGCAGAGTTAAGGCGGAGGGATAAAAGGGATACACAGAAGTTTGCAAGTGAAGTGGAAGCCACACAGATATGCCAATATGCATTTCAGGAAAGACACTATCTCAAATCTGGGCTTTCTCCAATGATAGGGTGACCCTCTATTCCTAATCAGAACTCCACTTAAGTCACTGAAGGCTGGTAAGATTATAGGTATTGACCTGCCTGTGGACTTAGATTTGTAATGTAGCTAATCATATTAACTTCATGGCATTTTCTTCCCGAGAACTTTTCTTTTTTACAAAGTGATCTGAAAACAAAATGAGTGTAGACCACAGCCTGATTAATCACCAGCTGTAGCTTAATAATTTCTCCCCTTAAGGTGATCCCATCTGCTCACCTCTGCTTCAGGAAAATAGCCTTACCTTTTTTTTAATTACTCTGGGATAATCTGTCACTGATGCAGCCCACAAGGTGTAGCTTCGAGTGTTCCCAGCAGGATTATTCAGCTCTAGATAACTAAGGCCAGCAACAGCACCTGGGCTTCCTCCTTCTATGTAAGGGTCTCCTTTAATCTTATTACCACTGCTTCCTGTAGATTCAGGATAGGAAATACAGAAAATATTGGCATTGCTATATTTACAAATGAAAATAGAAACATTACACACAAAAACTATGCTAGCAAGTAGTGAAAGGACTCGCTAGTACAGTTCAACCACCTTTGTCTGGATCAAGAGCTCTGTAGTGTGTTTCCTTGGCTGGGTTTTGGTAGCAGAGGGGCTACAGGGGTGGCTTCTGCTAGAAGCTGCTAGAAGCTTCCCCTGTTCCGTGGAGCCAATGCCAGCCGGCTCCAGGACGGACTTCCTGCGCTGGCCAAGGCCAAGCCAATTAGAAGTAATAGTAACGCCTCTGTGATAACATATTTAAGAAAAGAAGATTGTTGCGCAGAAGAAATTCCAGCCAGGGAAGAGCAGAGTGAGAACATGGGAACAACAGTGCAGACATCAAGGTCAGTGCAGAAGGAGGGGCACGAGGTGCTCCAGCTGCCGGAGCTGAGGCCCTGCAGCCCGTGGTGCAGACCATGGTGGAGCAGCTCTCACCCTGCAGCCCATGGAGGAACGTCGGGGTGCAGAGACCCACCTGTAGCCCATGGAGGAGCCCATGCTGGAGCAGGTGGATGCATGAAGGAGGCTGTGACCCTGCGGGAGGCCCAGGATGGAGCAGGGTCCTGCCGGAGACCTGCAGCCCGTGGAGAGGGAAGCCCATGCTGGAGCAGGTTTTTCCTGGGTAGGACTTGTGGCCCCTGTGGGAACCCACGTCGGTACAGCTCATTCATGAAGGACTGCACCCATGGAGGAGTGACCCTGGGGACAGCAGTTTGGGAAGAACTGCTGCCCGAGGGATGGACTCACATTGGAGAGGCCCATCAAGGACTGTCTCCCATTGGAGGGACCCCACGGGAGCAGGGGAAGGACTCCTCTCCATGAGCAGCGGCAGAAACAACAACTGACCATAACCCCCATTCCCCATCCCCCTGCACCACTGGAGAGGAGGAGGGAGAACATGGAAGGAAGGAGTGGTGGGGGAAAGGTGTTTTTAAGACTGTTTGATTTCTCACTCTTTGGCTCTTATCCTATTAGTAATAAATATTAGTACTATCCCCACTTTGACTCTGTTTTGCCTGTGAAGGGAATCAGTCACTGACCTCTCCCAGCTTTTATCTCTACTTATGAACCCTTAGCTGTTTTTGTCTCTCTCCTCTGTCCAGTTGCAGAGGGAGAATGAGAGAGCGGCTTTAATGGGTATGTGGTGTCTGGCCGGGGTCAACCCACTACAGTCTTTTTGGTGGCCTGTATGGGGAATCATGAGGATTTTGAGATAAGGATAGTAATTGGGAGAGGTAACAGGCAAAACAAGTTCTGAACAGTGCTAAAGAATTAAATGATTGTGGGGAATTTTTTGCTGTAATTGTGGTAAAGATACAAGGGGTGGATTTTGTGTAAATTGTCCACTTAAGTTTGGTGTTATAATGATGTTATTTTGATTTCTGGTTGGGGAAATTTTTGTTATATTCTGTTTTGGTAGGTTGTTACTTTTGTTTATGTAAGGGAAGGCTGTGTGATGAATGTGGAATTTAAGATTCTTAAATATGTGATTCATAGAGGCGAGGGGTGGAATGTCCCAGTCCATCCATCCTCTTCCTCCCCACCATCCTCCTCATCGGTCACATTGGTGTACTGGGCCAGGAGAGCAGCCTTCCTCTGTTTCTTCTCCTGGGAGGAGACCTCCTTGGCACGATCATGGAGATGGGCTTGATGAGCCCCTTGAGGGTGATGAGTTTGTAGAACTGAAAGACCTCACAGGCCAACATGTCCAGGCTGTGTTTCTGCATCACCCCCAGTCCTTTCTGTGGGGCTGGGGAGCAGAGTTCCATGAGGTAACTCAAATAGGACTTGTCAGAGCTGATCTCGTAATAGTGGATGTTGCCATCGCCCTTCCCAGACAGGTACAGCATGTGGGTGTCGGAGTCGTAGAACGGGAAGAGGAGCTCTGAGAGCCCATCGATCTCCTCCTCGATCAGGGGCATGGACAGGTCTTCCTGATCCCGCAGGGCGATCTGCCACGTATTCCAGCGTGACACGCCCACGGTGAGCAGCCTCTTGGTGCTGCCCAGGAACACCACCCTGTTGACACAGTGGTTCTTGCAGCTGGCCTCCTGCAGGACCTGCCTGTAGTGTGGCTCCACCACGCGCGGCTTCTTGTCCTTGCAGGGGGTGGCCAGGAGGCTGCTGTCTGTGTTGAAGGACATGCATAGGATCACATCCCTGTGGCAGTCGATCTTCACTGGCTCCCTAATGTCCAGGTTCCAGATCAGGACCTTGTAGTTGTAGCCAGCACTGAAGAGGACGTTGTTGTTGGTCGGGTGCCACTCGACCAGCTTCATGCACCAGCTGTGCCCGTAGAGCTCTAGTATGGCCTCCGTCATGTTCCTCATCAGCCCACCCTCAGGAATCTCCCAGATTTGCACCGTGGTGTCCTCGGAGCAGGATGTGATGTTGTTCTCAATGAAGGGGTTCCACTTGATGTCCAGCACAGTACCCTGGTGCCCACAGACCTTGGTTGGATCTGGCCTGTCTGCTCGAGGGGGATGATGAGGAAGGAGCCGCCGCCAGTGCTCTTGGTGACGATGGCGAGGAAGCAGGCGTTGACGGCACAGAAGTGGTTGTCATGCATGTTCTTGGTGATGGGAACGCCATCGAAGCAGTGCTCCAAAATCCCTGCCTTCTGGCCAGTCCATAATCTCTTCCAGGATTCCCGGGAAATTGGGTTTTCCCATTCGGGCTCACTGTGTGATCAAAGCTACCCACTGGTAGCTTTGGTAAGCACTGGTAAGCACTGGTTGCATGATGTGTTGAGGGGATGTTCCCTTTGAGCATCCAGTGCAGCACGGGCAAATACGGTACCAAGAGAAGACATGTTTCTGTTCCAACAACTTCTGAGGTGGCTCGAACCCCCTCATAGGCTGCTAATATCTCCTTTTTAGTTGGCGTGTAGTGGGCTTCTGATCCTCGATAACCCCGGCTCCAAAACCCTAATGGTTGACCTCAGGTTTCTCCTGGTATTCTGTGCCAGAGCCTCCAGGTGAGATCATGCTCCCCAGCTGCCGTGTGGAGGATATTTTGCACAGCTGGTCCTGTTCGAACAGGCCCCAGAGCTACTGCACGGGCTATCTCCTGTTTGATCTGCTCAAAGCCCTGTTGTTGCTCAAGGCCCCACTCAAAATGGTTCTTCTTCCGCGTCACTCAATAGAGGGGGCTCACAAGCTGACAGTAGCCTGGAATGTGCACCCTCCAGAAACCCACAAGACCTCTGCAACTGGACACAGGAGAGAGTCAGAGAGTGGCTTTAGTGGGTACCTGGTATCTGGCCAGGGTCAACCCACTACAAGCTCCTACATTGATAATATATAAGAACTATCTGTTTTTGCAAGTGTCTTGGCAGCCCTGACTTATGGTGTCCAGAAAAGTGCTGTTTACTGGGAAAGCATTAGCAATAATTGATGAGCATTGGAGAGCCTTTTAAACCAGGCACTTGGTGTCTGGGTTCAGCATGGTAGGACAGAATTCAACAAAGTTATCAGCACCTGCTCCTCATTTTGATAGCTATTTAGGATGAGATGAAGCTTGGACATATAACAACTGTATGAGTCATCATTGAATATTTACCTGAAGAAGTCTGCAGTAATTCATCCAGTTTGCTGCATGTCACTTTCTTCTTTTTCACAAAGAATGCATTCCATCCTGATGTGGTACACTCGTATAAGTTTGTTATGCTGACACCTGTAGATAATCCATCCATTAACAGTACTGTACACAGAAAGTGTGTTGGATTCATTTCTGAGTTTCCCGTTGGCTAGAGAGGTCATGAAGTACTATGCCTAAATTAGAAGGCAACTAACAAGTATGTGTGTGCTGTGGGAAGATCCACATGTTGGAGCCTATGGATGGAGGCTGAGAGATGAGAGGTGTATCTGGAAAAGGTTTAGTTTCATTTATTTTCTCAGCAGTCTCTAATCCTGCAGCACTGCTCCACACTGATTACCACCATAGGTGTCACTCTAGTATTTTCTCTGTTTGTAATTTACTGTGTTTTACACAGTTTTGCCCAACCTTCATCTCCAAGTGACTTTAAAACTTTAACATTGTTTGAAATTTATACTGGCACTAGAATTGAAGCTTAGCCTGATGAGGTCCTCAACTGACTATCAAATATTTGCTATCCAGAGTGCTGCAGGTCAACCACATGGATCTAGAACTAAGTGTTGTGGTTTGAGCCCTGTTTTTAGTCTTCTTTCTTTTGCTCATGAACAGAATGCGGTGACTTGTAGAAGTCTTTTACTTGATTTTAGATATTAGCTGGGAAAACATGCAAATAAATTTTTATTCTTGATTATTGACTTTGTTTCCTGCAACAAATACGCTAGTACTCTACCTTCTGCTTTCATTTTGTCAGTATCCATATAAAAAATAACTTTGTAGTGGCCTCCTAGAGATCCAGAGTGTAAGAAATGAGTCCCAAAATGTTCAATAAGTCTTCGATAGATGCTGTAGTCATAGACAATGGGAAGGTTGAACAATTCCTTCCAGAAAGACTCCGCAAGAGTGAGGAAGTCGGGGCGGTTGTTAATGAACTGAGCAACTTCCACACTGTTCTCAACAACCATCAGCTGCTTACTCTGTGGGAAGAAAAAAGGCATCAGTCATGCTCCATGTCACTATCAGAGTGGCTCCCACTAGCAAGGTGGCATGTATAGTCCATTGGCTACTAACCAACAGCCTTACATAGCTGTCTCATCAACCCAATCAATACAAAAAGAACACCTTGAAGTCAAGAAATATCACTGGACTTTTATTTATACTTGCTGCAACATCTTTCTTTTCCTCCTGTGTACTTGAAAACTAGCATAAGCATAAGAAAGGAAAATATCACTCTTCAAAGCTAACTGTGGCTTCCAGAACTGGGAGCCTGGCAGTAGGAGGTTAACAAGCTTTTTCTGAAAGCAAATCAGAGGCAGTACAGAGGTGTCCTTTGCACCTTGTTTTGTCTAGATAAGTCAAGGGTCTCCAGCCATTTTGAGGATGCTTCTGAGTTATAAAATCCTATATGCCTACACAGTATTGTTCATTTCAAACTCTCAAAGTTGCTTTTGAACTTTGTTAGGCTGAGTCTCAAAATATGTCATTGTTAGTTTCTGCTTGGGGCCACAAAATACACGCACTTGTTATTTGATTTTATTTGCTATAACATATAGGTTATATTCATCATTGAGAGTTACTCCCAAATTATTTATCTCCTTTTAAAATAAGATAAAGGTATAAGCACTGTGACCTCCTGGCTGTTAAAGACATGAGACATCTCTCCTAATGGAGTTCTACAAATGGCAAATGCATTATAAAGTAAATTAACATTAATCACAGAACTATTGCAAATTTTTTGCTCCAAGGTACTGACCAAAAAAAAAAAAAAAGGTAATAAATCCCTAGTAAAAATGGAAAAGAATCAATTATCTGAAGAAACTAAAAGAAGTCAAAGTTTTTCTCCCTCAAAAGTGAAGAAAACAGCTAGTAAATAAATAAATAAATGACTAACAAATAGGTTTTATGGGATATTTAATGTCATGCACTTTGTGCCAAAAATGTCTGGATAAAATAAATATTTGTATCTCACCATAAAAACACATTAAAAAATGATGAAAATGTTTATGCAAAATACTAAGCCACAGTGACAACTTATACATACCTTTCGCAGACTTTCATTCTGTGAATTACTGCGTCTATTTGAGTTTTCATACCTCTCTGTATGTTTCATATAAGACCAGGTGCTGTTGAAAAACTCATAACTAAAATCATTCTGAACTTTGACCTAGATGGTGAAAGATAGAAGTCTGTATGAAGAGGTTCATACAGGATTTTAAAATTATAACATAAAGAGTAGAGCAAGTCCTTACTGATGAAAAAAAAGCTGATGCGTTTTCCAGGCTGAATCCATTTCAGATTTCATAAAAGGTACTGAATACTATTGGAAAAGCATTCATCTGTATATATGGATGTTAATATGTGGATATTAAGTATTTATATTATGAAATAAAGTACACTAAGGATTGTTTGGCATGCTTTTGATAAATGTGAGACAAATCGAATCTCTGAGACAGTGACTTCAAACAAAGCGTATCTCAAAGATTTACACAAAGCACCTCAAAGCCTTGCATTTCACCCCCAAAACATTTCTTAGGGTGATTCAAGCCACTACTTATACTAGGGAGATGGCTTTACATTCAGTCTAACTGTGAGAGATTTAGAAATTACATTCAAGTTTAATCTTTTATTTTTTTGCCTTTTATTTTAGCAAGACATACAACAATTTGCATTTCAAAATACTGACTGCAGAGAGGGAACAGGTGTTGTTGAGCTGTGTTTAGGGAACATACCTGCCAAGGGCCCCTGCAAGCTTTGCATCATTCTCCCAGTTTTAATCATGACTGTAAATACAAAGCTGTGCTTAATGGAAACATACCTGGAAAGTATAAGCAAGAACACTTTCACTCAGCCTGTAGTATTCTCTCCCATCGCCACTAAAAACCTTTCTGCATTGCCCTCCAAAGCTTTTTGTGTGAATGACTCTTCCCTTGGTCTCACCAGTAATAGCATCAAAGCTGCAAGAAGAAAAAATACGAAAGGTCATTAAGACAGGGAGCCAAAAATTACAGAGCCATTATAACTGAATGATGGATCTGCAAAGTAAGATGTTTTACCCAAGAAAAGGGGTTATCGCCTGACAGACTTCTATACATGCAGAACTGCAGTATGCATAGCATGTTACAATATTGAAAATTAAATGTTGGATTTGTCAAGAAAAATGAACAGATTTCATTATGTCTTAACATTAAGACGTTCGTATCTATCTCAACTGATTTTAAATTTTATTGTTCAAGCAATTACTGCAACACGAAAACAGCAGGGCATCCATCCCAAAATGTGGCTGTTTTTATTATATATGAAGTATATTGCATAACAAGGGATATAACAACACCAAAGACACTTAAGATAATTATTTTTCTAAGTTGCAGATGGGATGTATAAACAGAAATCCATATGGATCTACAGTACTAAATGCAACAGCAATGAATAAAAAGAATGAGCTGACTCATTTTTTCCATGATGTAAATCATGGGTTATTAGTTGAAATTTAATTTTATATCTTAGAAGCTGTTTTTCAATAACAGGAATGAAAGACTAAAAGCTTTATTCTGTGCTTCAGATCAAAGGACCTGTACATCCTGGCCACACTGAGCCACCGGCATGATGGAGGCAGTTCTACTGAACACTTTTGCATATGGGATGTTTTACCATAAGCCCAGGAAGTCTATCTGCACACCTAGAGCTTGTAAACCCATCAAAATGTAAATGTATGTGGCACCAGTAATATTGAGCCTGGCACAGAACATTACCCTGCTCCTGTGAGTTCTGAATTTGGAGGTGTTTTGTCAATATCACATACAGTTTTCTTCTCTTCACATCGATCTTCATCTGCACCATCTTCCTCACAGTCCTGATCGCCATTGCACACAAGGGATGTGCTAATGCACTGGCCTAAATCAGAACAAACATGCATAGGCAAAGGAGTGTTTGTTAGTTTAAAACCAGATCAGCTAAAATCAAAGCAGAAGTCCTATTTATCTATTACATCAATTAGCATATTCACTTCCATGATGAACAGTCTGTGCCCACAAAGGCTTGTTGAATATAGCACACTTGAGGGAACCACAGCCATTTGAGGCCTATGACATATTAAGAAAACAGTTGACTTCTAGATTTATTTCCTAAGCTTTCACCCTCTGACCCTATCACCTATGATTAACTGTGATTATCACTCTGGTAGCATCAAAACACGTTTATCATGGTCCTCTGTAATAAATGTCTACCTACTGAGATAATGTGCTCTTCTGTGAAGGTAATGGAAGCTGCTTGGATACAATGACTGTTCTATGGAGCATTAGTTTCCAGGTGGTTTCCAAGATACTTCGATATAGCATAGAACAGCTTCAAACAATCACATCTAAGGTTGTACTCCTTAACTACCTTCTCATAATGAAAAAGACTGTTCTATGGGGCAAACGAGTACGGCAGAATGAATTAAAGAGAGTACCAGGGCTAAGCATATTATCTGCAATGCTCTGCAATGCTCCAGATGAAATGAAATCCATGCAGAGTTAAGGCTGGGAAAAAAGGAAACATCTACCTAAATCAAATTCATCTGTATACCAAGAGTTCTGCAAAGACATTGCCCATTTCCTAAAGTTCAAAGATAACAAGGTTTTCTTCTTAACTTCATGACTAGAAAATGGGGAAAAAGATCTTGGATGGTACCTGAGAAACACCTAAACCGATCACCACAGCCATCCTCTGTTGGACATCCCCTTGTGGGGGTGCACGGTCTTGTTTCAAAGGCATCCCCAGAGCAGGGGTTTCCCCCATACTGGCCATAAACTGCTACTGTCCGTCTCCGAACCTGAATGTAAATCAAGAGATTTTAGGAAATCCAACTGTAAAGCAGGAATAGTGTGCTAGTGTCAAGACAATGCTACCACACTGCTGCTGTAAGGAAATGAGATATTCACTATTTTTTCTGAGAACAATCACACCTGCTATTACCATAATATGATAAAAAACCCATCAAGTTAATAGAAAGACAACTCCTTTATCTATCAGGTCTTTAGACTGATGCATAAGCTTGGCTTGGTTTGTTCAAAAATGTAATACGTAACTGAAGAGAAGAGAAAGCTGCTAAGAAATTTCTGTCTTTTTTTTACATTCTTAATAGGACCAATTATGCCTGATATGAATTTGTTATTAAAGTTTCTCAGAGTAAACAATACCTTTAAAAATATGGTAAAATCTAAAATCAAGTGGGCTACTTTTTGTTCCTAAAAAAAGTACTGTCTCATGGCACGTCTTCAGTTTTGACTAATCTGTCCTTAATTGATGCAACATCAAAATAGATGAAAAGGAAAATCAAAAGCAAGTGTCTTGCACATCAATAGAGTTTCAGTGTAAAAATCATCAACTTAGTTTCATCAAGGGTAACACTTCACAACTAAGTTTTCTTCCCTTGAGATGTGACACCACTAATGAAAAATCAGTGAAATTGGTACAAACCAGCATCAGTGGAGGAATGTCTGTGTTTACCAAACAGTTCAGTCGAGCTTTTTGAAGCCATCACCAAAATAAAAAGAGCACAAATTATTTTACAACATGAACATCCTAGCTTTGAAAGGGAACATACTGGGAACAGACTAAGAATTTATCTTCTGAGTTCTCTGCTCTTCAGCCTTCTCATTTTGCTGGGGCTTTTGTCTGACACCTGATTTAGGGTCTTAAAGATACAGTGGCTCCTTAATTACCAGGAAAAAAGCACATATGCTTATGAGGTCATGAGTACAGAAAAGATGTGTCCATTTGTACCTGTTTTTGAGTACAGCCATCGCACTCGGACCAAGGGCCAAAAGAATTCCAACGGCAATGGACTGGAGGGGAACGGCTGCTTGAGTAGGTTTTTTTTTTAATTAAAAAAAAAGGAGAGAGGAAAATCATCAGTGATTTCCACCCATAAACATGAGTGCAAAACTTTCCTAAACAGTAAATCAGACCTTCAATAACAATTAGGATTATGATCAGGCTTTCTATAAAATTGCTTGGATTTGCTTTTCATAGATAAAAATGAAATCAGTCCCAGCTTAGTCACTCAAAAGAAGAAACTAGACACATTCACCCAGCCTAAAGATCAGCAACGACTCTGTGCAACTATAAAACAAGTTTCAAAGACCAGCTTCACACTGTAAATCAGGGATAGGGCAGTCCCCATCCAGAGATGGGCAGCTGAGAGGGGCTGTGTGTGCCACTGATGGCTGTGGCAGTACTGACACCAACCAGTGTGTATTTCTCCCAGGAAATACATCTGAAGACCTTTTTGAGCCCTGCCTCATGTGATGCACCTTAATTATACATGCTTAGCCTTCAGCATGTAGTTTATTAAATAAATATTCACCTGGAAAAAATGGGAAAGAAGCCTGAAACTTCCAGCAACAGAAAAATCCCCAGCACCTGAAAAAAGAGAAGTAAAAGCAAACTTACTTTGCTTTTCTGCTTTTTTCTCCCTCTTTCAGCTCATACAGCTGTTGAAGGTTTCTGCAATTTTTACACTAATCAGCTAAGAAATAAGAAAAGTTCACACTTATTTTTTCAGCCGTGTTGTGCAAGCTTTTGTTTTTAATTTTCTTATTTCTTGCAGTGTTGTCCAATTACCTTTTCAGCTAACTATTTCTCCATGTAAAATCCTATGTCATTACACTTGACATATTCAACTTCATCAGTACAAATAAAGTAAGCAACTGTCTTACCTTCATGTTAGATGAAATACTCAGATATACAGCAATTACCAGGGAATATGCACTTCCAGCATTCTCAATTCGGCAGTCAAAGGAGTCAGTCAGTCTGTCTGCTGCTGTTCATGTCTTCTCACTCTGCCTTGCTGTTCTGCTTTTCTTTCCCTAAAAGGGTTGAATATTGCCAAGGAATTTTAACCTTAACCCATCCAGTCCTCCCCAGGGACAAAGACTGCTTTGGGAACTCCTCAGTGTTTTTAAGATATATAAATCAAATGTTGGATGTATTGACTGGGGTTGGCAAAAATTTGTAAGGAGCACTTACTGGAAGAACCATCATCTTTTCCTTATCTTCTCTCTCACAGTTTCTTTCCTCTGAACAAGATTTTTCAGAGATCTTGGGCCACACACAGTACACCACAGCTGAGTTCACAGCTTCAGTAGGAAGAGCTGCTCTTGATAAAGCTGATGTTGCTAATCACAAATCTTCATTCTCCCCTGAAGTCATGCTGATTTTTGTGTATCAGTTTTCACACTGAAAATCAGCTTATGGATCTCAATGCAAGTTTTGGTCAATTATGTCCTGGTTCTGCCTGCTTTTTGTGGGGATACTCATACAGAAGAAGAGTACTTCATTTTCTCTTTCCTCACCCTGCCATCCCTTCTTATTTTTAGTTTTGATTTGTTTCACTTACCAGAGCTGACCCATTGCAGTAACAGCAACAAAATGCCACTGCTAGAGAAATCTACACTAATTTATTCTAGTGTAGCCCAGATGAAACCCTCATAGAAAAGTAGCACTTCTATGTGAAAACTCTTCATATATTAGGTCTCAGATACCACACCAATTTTGAACTGCTTGCACAGTCCTCAGAAGACTAAATGCTTCATGTCACAGCATCACTAGATGGTGACTTTTAAGCCCTGCACTCTGTTGGCATGGTCTGCTTTTTTTAAGGAGATGTCTAGATCTTGGGTCACACTACTCCATTCATGTGAAGGATGCCTATGTCCACTCCTCAGAGCCAATTTAGATAAGCCAGAGTCTGTCTTCGGGACTTTTCGGGTTTAGTAACTATGAAACTCTTAGATAATGTAGTTCATATGCTGTCATCACTTCTGTACATATTTTACTGCTTTTTATCAAAAACATCATGCTCCTATTTAGCTTATGACCAATTTGTGCAATTTGTGCAACACTGACAGTGGTCATTTGCCTATGAAGGAAATTATTAAAACCAAGTTAAGACCTTTAATAGCTGGCCCAGAACACAGAAACTCCAAAGAATATTTTATCTCTCCAGACATGACTTGATCTTGCAGTCAGCTGTTGTAATAGCTTAGATAGCAAATTCACTTTCTGTAAGTACATCATTAGTTATAATAACCCTCAAGATAAAGATTTACTGTAATTTGGTCCCAAACAAAACATGCAAATAAACATAAGTAGAGCTAGCAAAGAAAGTGTGTGTGGTGGCAGGGGTCTGGTCTTAATTAAGAGGTAGTCAAATCATTAATAGTAAGGGGTGTCATATTTAAATGAACTTTTATTGATGGAAGGTCTTCCTGCGAAAAGTATTTCAGCAAGACAAAAATGCTGCTTTGGCAGATGCTATATAATAGTTCTTTTAGCACACATTTTCAGGTACTTCAACCTAACAATTTTATCTTTCATTTGGAAAAAGAATCCTGCTTTTTTATTGATCCTGGCTTCAGCAGTAACAAAAGCAAAGAAATGGAACCAAAGTATGCAAAACAGAGGGAGGTTAGAGCTGGACTTGTGCTGCTCCTTGGACTGAAGTCCAGAGGTCCCATGGCACTTAATTGGTTTGCAGTGGGTAGATGTTCAGTCTCCTCTACAACAGTGGAATTGCAAGTGGCTGATTCTTGTTCCATTTCATAGGGTACTTAGAGCAGCCTTTTTTTCTACTTAGCATTTATGCTCTGAATAGTTTAGTTTCCTACTTTTTCGTGTTATTGACACTGAAGGCAATGTGCATGATAATCTACTTACACTTGAATTTTCTGATGACAGACTATGCAACACCCAGTACAGTCTCAGTCTTGACTGACAGTAAGTTCTACAATAACATAAATTATAACAAAAGGCCTGATTGGGGAGCTCCCCAATTACTTCCCTTTACTGCATGGTAGTGAAGGATGGAGTGTAACTCACAGAGAAGCTGAAGCTAATTTTCCCTTACTGTTAGTGAAAATTGCAACAATCTAGTAACCATTTTGCTGTTAAAAGCGTGTTTTATCATTGCAACTTTTAGTTCTTGCTAAACATTTCTATTGTATATTCAGAAATAAACCACCTTTAGACTTAAAACCAATGTTTTAGAGGATTGAAAGAGGCGTAATTTGAGAGACACAAAGGAATAGCCATAAGGCAGGGCATTTCTTGACTTGCACCAAATGATAATTCTAGCACAGGAATGATTAATGCAATGCTTCACTTGCTGGGCTAATGATATCCTGCCTGGTCTGGAGACAGCATGAAATGGTATTGTCTGTATACTATTTCACACTAAGGTCAGCCAGAATATAATTATATCAACGATATTTCCCTGTAGACTTCCAGCCTTTTATAGGATTGATGCTAAGGTTACTCAATAGTTTACCAAGCTTTAAATAGTCTTGTGTCTTCATTGTCCAAGTTCATTATGTATTACAGCTCTAAAGACAGTTTGTGCTCTGTGACTGCTGCAAATGCCAAGGTTCCAGTGACAACTGAGTGGAGAAAGAACATCCTGTTATTATGGTTTTGAATTGTGAAATTGATTTGGAGAGTTTTTGTATTTGTTTCTGTATGCTAATGCCGTATTTATTTTTTTAAAAAGCTTTTTAATTGCCTGTTTTGCTTTTAATGTATTTGCCGCATTTCAAGGATTAATGACAATGCCTTGGGATGTGTCTCCATGAAATATGTCAAATAGCATTACTGCTGTGCTAACTTTAATGGAAATTATTCTTTCTCAGGAGACCTTGTAGAAGGATATTGCCTTAGATACTGGAATCTGTATGCTGCAGAAACTACACCAAACAATGAAGGGCTGTGAGGGTTCTGGTTTGAAAGAACTGGGTTAGAAGAGCTCATGTTATTAGTATTCAAAATTCAGAGAGCTTCAGCAGTATATTGGTAATACATCAGACTTGTCTAAAGCACAGACATTTCAGGCTGTATGTACACAAAGGTCAAACAAATAAGTACTGTTCTTTAGAATCATCGTCTGATCTTAGACCACAAGACACGGCGAACAAATTCAGCAGCTTGATTCTGCCCCAAAAGTCAAATTACTATTCTGTTTTTTCCACATCTTTGCCTGCTTTTATGCCCAATCCCCTGCCATATGCTCCTTCTGCACATCTGGTGCTGGCATTGGCACACTTCAGTCCCCTCTGAGAGCCAGTTTAATTTACTACAATGACAGAAAATAAATCCAGAAAGAAAAAAAAGCAAAAAAAGGCAAGAACAACAAACAAAAACCCTTGGTGTTTTTGTGCTGTTTTTATGAGTTAGAATGTCTCTCAGGAAGGCCTGGTGAGGAACAGACCCACGGAGAAGGTAAAAACATACAGTCATAGAAGAAAGATGGGACCAAAGAGGTGAGAAGTGGGAAAGGAAGGAAGGCAATGGGAGAATCTTCTGCTTGCAGATGCGACCAGCCACTGCATCTGCTCAAGTGTCAGTGAACCAACACCTTGCACAAACTCTTCTGGTTGCTGCTTACGCTAGACTATCAGATATAAATCACTCTACCACCCACTGCCTCCCAGGAATCTCCTGGACAGGACAGTGGCATATAAATGTGCTCTGTTATCTAGTGATCAGTTGCCCCATACAGGCCTAATTTAGGTTTTCATTGAAGTTGAATATTTATTTTTCATTTCTACCATTACTGACACTTGCCTCCCTGAGACCTTCTACCTTCAGGCTGATAAAAATTGCTCAGGTTCAGACCATCTGCTTTTGGGGATGACAGCAAACAAAGCATGGGTAATAAATATGAGTGAGATTTTCAGTGGTCTTCATCGTCAAGGGGTGGGAGCAAGCATAGGTCCACTTTGAGTCCTTCTAAAGCTAAAATTCTTGCCCAAAGAGCTCAGAGGGGTCAGGTCTTCCGCAAAAGCTCTTCTGAGAGCTCATCTGCCAGCTGTGTGCAAAAGCAGAGGTACTGTGTCTACAACAGATCTATAAGCTCTCACTTGCGTGTGCAGCAACAGAGGGCTCACACACACATAAAATAGGTGAATTTCATGAACCACAGGGGTGGTGTCATAATTTGAGCACTTTATAGAAGCTAACACAGGAAGTCACACGAAACAGGCTATGTCAGATACTAGAAAAACGTTCTTTCCCCAGAGGGTGGTTGGGCACTGGAACAGGCTCCCCAGGGAAGCGATCACAGCACCAAGCCTGTCTGAGTTCAAGAAGCATTTGAACAATAGTCTGGGGCACATGGTGGGATTCTTGGGGATGGTCCTGCGCAGGGGCAGGAGTTGGACTTGATGATCCTTGTGGGTTCCTTCCAATTCAGCATATTGTGGGATTCTGTTATTGCATTTGTTTTAATAGTGACACAAATCCACACACAATGTATACAGGAGTGTCTCAGAGGTTAAACCACATCGAGGAGTGCAGACCCTGTTCTAAGCAGTTAATCCTCAGAGCTGGACAAGGCCAATTTTTCACAAGTATCCAATCATTTAAGTTTTTCTTGATTTTTTCTTGCATTTTTCTACATTGTTGACTATTAATTTAATTTCTACAGTTAAATAAATTAATGAGCAGCTTTATATGACTGCCTGAGACAGTAATTCACATTGATAATCCAGATCTCTTTCAGCCTCAGGTCTTGGTGCTTTTTAAAATATCACCTCTTTCTTATTTCTCTGTAGAGCAAGCAGAATGTCCAACATCAGCCATTAGTGACCTTGCCCATGCTTTTATATTTCTGGTTCTTTCTCAGTCAGTGGTGTATGTGCACTATATATTCTAGAATTATTATTGTAACTAGTTGGAAAACTAAAATGCTTGAAGCAGACCTTGAACAAAAATCTTTCATCAAAGTCTATCAGTCTCCCTCTGAAAATTTCCAAGTATCTTGAAATTAAAATCTTAAAAATGTTTTTCAATAAGCAGAACAAAGATTCCTCTCCTATAAAAG